AAATCATTTAGTCTTATAGTCTAGTGTTGGGAGAGAAAAGCCATCAATACTCCACTTGCATGTTCCAGCGATACTACTAACTTTTAAATTCCAAGTGAAACAATGTTGGTTGCAATGTGAAATCGAGGTAGGGGTGGGGGATGGGGCTGAGGTTATAGTGCACTGGCAGAGTGCTTGCCTAGCATGTGCTGGGTGTGACTTCTAGGCAGTCAGTCTGCCTCTGTCATATCATGGTGCGTGCCACCTCATGTGCCACCCCAGTGTCCCCATCCCATCCCATCCCATCCCATCCCGTGCCGTGCCAGCCCCTCGCCCCCAGAGGCATTTCTCCAGAAGGGTTTTGAGAATCTAACAGGATGGTGGTCTCTCTGGAATCGAGTTAGGAAGGCTACACCACAGACATGGGAGATTGGATGCTATATTCCTATTCTGAGAGAATGGATGCACTTGAACCCTATGTGTTAGATACGTGGATGCATTTCCTTTAAAGACCATAGTTGTGCCATGGATGACTGAAACCGTGTAACCCAGGCATGTTTATATTTAAACAAACAAAAAAAATCACTTGAGAAAAATCTTAGGCCTTTCCACTTCTCCTTTCTTTAAGGACAATGATGCAAACATTTGACCCCAAACACAGGTGAAGCAAGCTTGCCTTGTCACCGGAACTCCTCATGCTTCTTACGAAGTAACACATGGCTTTCGTTCTTTATTTTTCACAAAGTGAAATGTGGTTTCTGAGATCTAGCAAAGATTATGCTTAAGCTCTACTTCGACAAAGATACAGAAATAGACTTCTTTTTTAGCCAATCCCAGCTATGGGCAGGAAGGGTCTACAAAGTATAAGCAAATTTCTGCTATGTAACTTATCACAATGGTTGGGGGGTATTCTGGGAGGGATACTAAGAATAAGAACACTTCTGCTATGTAACTTATCACAATGGCTCAGATGGATATTCTGTAAGGAACACCAAAAAGTTCTGAACTCTACTTTTCTCACAAAACTCATTAATGTAATCTTGGGCCCGTGACCTTTCTAGGCCCATTTCTGCTTCTGCAAATGACTAAAAGACAGGAACTACCCAGAAGGTTATTAGTCTGGGGTTGAGGGAAATACTGTACATAATGTTGCCATTAGAGTCAACACGGAGGAAGTGCTCCCAGCTGGCTATCCACTCAGACTCTTATCAGAAAGGATGACCAGAAGGGACTAGGAAAGTGGTCAGATAAATTGTGCTCAAGGCTGTCTTCTCTCCAAGCCACCCCCGGCCTTGAACTCTGCAAAGACCTGGCCTTGAGGTGCTATCTCTGCCACATTGCATATGGACTACTGACCTGTGTAACCACAAATGTGCATAACTCCCAAGACACCAGATACAGTGCAATAGGTAAGATCAGTGTCAACTCCCAGCTCCTCAAATACAAAGTGAAAAGTCAAAGGAGTAGTGGAATTAGAGAAGAGGAAATGGTCTTCATTCACTTACACCCATATTAAAATTGTTCTGCGCACTTTATACACTGACCCTCTCCCATCCAAGTACTAACCAGGCCCAAGCTTGCTTAGCATCAGCAATTGAATGGGCGAATGAAGGGTGATAGGCTGTGTGCTCTACATGGGCCATCTACCAGCAGAAGAAAACTGAGCGTCTGGGGGAAATTTGCAGATTTAAAAGTGGCAACAGAAAATCCACTAAAATCACACAGACAGGAAATAAAACAACCATATGCAAATTATGTTCACAGACATAGCTCAAGCCATAGACCTGTTCCTTGGAGACATTTGACCAGAAAACTCAGAACAGGGAACAGTTGAAGGATAGCTACTGACTGAGGCAAAGGTTGGGTGCGTACCCTCTAAACAGGAGGGTTGAGACAGCAGCAGAGGGATCAGAGAGATGACTCAGTTGGTGGCAAGAGTTCTTTTTGGCACACTGCAGCTGTGGTATTGAGTCTCCAGGCTCACAGAAGCTGTCTATTGGAACTCACTCTTGGGAAGCTTGAGACAAAAGGGGCATGGGGAGGAGGGAAGGAGCCAGGGAGTGTTAAACATCTAGTTTGAAGTACCTTTCAGTGGTAGATATATTAACTAGGAGGGTCCATTAGACATCAAAATCACCTGGGGTAGTCCACTGACAAAGAGCATTCTATAGCAATTAGATTTTAGTGTCTAGAAGATACAGACCAAAAGCCAGGGCATAGACTGTAGGTGAATCTAAGAAAGCCACAGAAGTACCAAGGGCACTCAATCACTATAGACCTAGAACTCAGGGGGAAACCATGATGGCTCATATGGATTCCCCTCAACTTTTCCCCATGGCTTTGAATCTAAGATGCTGCGAAAGACAAATGATTTCCATTTCAGAACATTGAGTCCAGGCTAAGTACAAGGCCCCACTTCTGCCTGAGTGGAGTTCTCCCAATAATCAGACCACTGGCCTATGCTTGGAGACAATGTGGTCTGATTATTGCTGCTTGTGGTAACTTACTTACTCTCTGTGACCCAAAGCAACTACACAGGGAGGCAGGAGGCTGAATAGATTGCATCAACCTCCAATATAAAGCATCAAGTTACGCCAAGGTTTTTCCTTGATTCTTTTGAGTATATAGACAAGGAATAAAGAGATAACAGGTTCTAACTGACGGCAAAAATGCTGTTACCTCTCTCATTTTAGAACTAGAGGGGCTTGCAACCAGAGCCTGGTATTTAACAACAATGAGAATGATAACAGCTTCCCATCACAGAGAACTGTGCTATGAATTCTGGTTAGCAGTTTGCATGCTTTAAACTTTAAACATAAACTTCCCATGGAGAAAGAAGATAATAACCCATCTATTTTGTTTGCAAGTTGAGGCAGCTGGGTCAAAGACAGTTTCTAACAGGCACGTTTAAAATACTAGCCTTAATTTATATTATTTGATCTCAGCCTCAGTTTCCTCTTCTCTAACACCTAGACAAAGCCACCTCCTTCAAAGGCCTTTGAGGAGATACTGCTGGAGACAGTAAGTCCGATATTAGGGTATTAGCATGTGGCCATTATGTTTACATCCTTTCTCCTATTACACTTGTGAACTGCTTCTCTCGGCCTCCAGCAACAGCTGTTTAATGTCTACAGCTTATCCCAAGACAAATTTCCTCTCACAGCAATGAACATTTTTTCCCAAAGTCAGTCTTGTATATTCGACACCAGTTCAATACCTTCACATGCAGGATTCCACTTAATCCTCACACAACCCATTGAGGGAGGTGCTATGGCTACACCCACCAGTTTTACAGAAGGAGACACTGAGGCTTAGAACCGTGGTAACTTGCCCAGATTCAACGCTAGCAACAGAGCCAGCAGCCTGGCTCCTTGATGCAACAGGCCAGCCTGTTTGATGCCCACACTTGGCCATAATTTCTTCTAGAGGTCAGCATTCAATGCTCTTATAAACTCAATGTGTAGACTTGTTTTTTAACTTTAAAAACAATACCTTTCTTTTTTATTAGAATTCTTAAAATAAAAAAACTATGCTCAAATCAGGTGTCTATCACTAGCTAGTTCATATTGTTTTGTTCACTGAGACACCTTAATATATACTCACCTCTTTCGAAAGGTCATCTAAACAAATCTTACATTATTTCAAATCCAAATGCATGTATGTATTTTTCTCTGTGCAGATTTCTTTCTATCTGTAGATGCATACATATCACAGGGCAGCTGCAGTGTGCGCTATTTGGTTAATGTAAAGCCTCCTATGGTCAGTGCTCTAAATATTGTCTTTTTTTTTACAATATTCGCTGCCTATCAGCCACACAGCAGGGCTGTATGGTATTTCAAAGAATTCCTTTTACAATTTAATCAGCTCAAGTATTAACATCAATGGCATTAATCCATTGCTCTGCTTTAAAAGAATCTCTAGGGGGCAGCTGAGAAAGAAAGGTTAAAGATTTCTACCCTTCAAAGTAGGCCACTGCAGCTACCTATAAATCATGCTCTTTGTTTATTAAGATAATTAAGCCCATCAGTGCACTTAACTTTCAGACTCAACAATTGTCTGGCATGAACAGTCTCCACTCTTCCTAAAACAAAAGGGGATGTGTTCTATAGGGGGTCTTGTGCATGCTCTCTGTACAATGTATGGTATTTTAAAGCATGATTTATGTATCCAATTCCTTGAACTGCCTTGAAAAATACACCGAGTCCTTCCTCCCGTGTTCCCCATTAGGAGAAGACGCTCCAATTTAAAACTGCCCTGTTTCTGACTACAAGCCGCTATATCATGTCAACATTTTCATTAAATACGGTTCAAGCTGGACTTGAAACAAATGGAGTGGAGGCCCAGCTGCAGCCCCTGCAGATGCAAAGTTAACCAGGCAGGAGGCTTACATAAGAGATGCAGGGCAACTCAGCCACCATCTGAATCCTTTCTTTGAGACTTGCCCCCATTCTTAAAGCATATGCATAAAAGCGCACAGATCGTTCTTCTCATTTTCTCTGCCTCAGAGCACACAACACTCAGTTGACATAGAAGTTGTTTTTCCCTAAAGGACTAGGCTCCAATTATGGGAGACTGCCAACTTCTGCCTAGGGGGAGCGTGAAGTGGGATTCACAGAAAGCCTGCAGGCCTGAGCAGCAATGTCTCAGCTTCTCATCTCTGTGTCAGTCCTCAGAGGGGATGTCAGCAGACCTTCCTCGGATGGAGGTGGCGGATGCCCCTGACCCCACGCCGCGCAGAATCAAGGAGCTCAAAATGTGCAATTAGCGGCCAGCCAAATGCCCTCAGAGCACCTGTCTCTCCCAGCACATTTCCAACTGGCTCATTCAGCAGAGGCAGAAGCCAGCCCTGGACTCCAGCCTTAAGTCCTCGAGTGCCATGCCCCCCTCCTCTGCAGCCCAGTACTCCCTCCTCCAGCGGCAGCCTGCTAACAGGAGGTGCCACCTCGGCCTGGCACGACAGGAATAAAACGAACCTGTCCTTCCCACGCTGCCTGCAACTTCAGAAACTACAGTCAACTTACTGGCTCTCAGGAGGCAGGGGTCTTCTGGGGCTTCAGCGCGCTAAGAAGCGCTGCAACTCCGCCGCACGCATCCGGGCTGGCCCTCTGTGGCCGGTGGCAGCGGGCGCAGGATCCTCCCGGTCCCTGTAGCCTGAGCTCTACCGCGCCCGGGGCGGCGCACTCTCCCGGGCGCACCGGGTGGCCGCGGCGACCCGGACTGCGCCGAAGACCGGAGCAAGAGCCGTAGCGGCCACCAGTCCCTGAGAGCTGAGCTCTGAGCTCCAGGTGCGTGTCTCCCGCTCCGACGGAATGCGACGCCACGGAGTCCCCGGACGAGAGGCGCCGACGCGCTGCAGAGTCGCCCGATCCGCCCCGGAGGAGCAGTCACAGCGCCCGCGCGCCGGGCAGGAACCGCAGTCCGCACTGGCCGCCGAGCCGCGGAGAATGACAGCGCGGAGGAGCGGCGCGCGGCAGCCAGTGCGCATGTTCGCGACTGCTGCGGCACGTCACGGGGGCGGGACTAACGGGCGGGGTTGGGCGGAGCGAGCAGGGTGGGGCGGGGTCCCGGGCGCGAAGCTAATGTGGCCCGTTGCTGGGCCAGGTGCTGGAGGCTCGCAAATGGGGCTGATAACCTAAAGCTCTGTGTCTGGAGGTTTGTCTCCTGAGCCCATTGTCTCTTAAAAGGCGGTGCATCGGAACTGTCTTAGGGTCCCAGGACAGCCAGAAAAAATGCCAAGTTTAACTCAGGTGATTGCTTAACTCCCAAGAGCTGCAATTTGTGGGACACCTTCTTTCACCTTGACCGTACCTACAGTAAGAATTTGAAGAGCTTGTAAGAGCCCTTTGCCCCGACCGCACCCCAAAAGAAGCACAGGAGACTCGAGAGGTGGGGCCCAGGTTTGCAGGTTGTAAATAACATCGCTCAAAGCTCCTCAAAGCACCCAGTGATGCAGAACCTACTGGCTGTTTGGTAATACAGAGCTGCCCATGAAGACTCGGAGGGTCTGGAGGATGGAAGAATCCCCATTCCAGCAGGGTCCAAGAAGATACCAGTGCTGCAAGCCTGCCCTGTTCCGCATCCTTATCAAGTAAAGGGTGAACAACCCGGAGCAGCTTCTCAAGTGTTGGTCTGCTGGAGAATCAGAGAAGAGCTTTTAACTCAAGAGAACAAATTCCCAAGGCATATCCACAGTGGTTCTGGTTCAGACACTAGGTACAGCGGGTGGGGGTGGGAGCCCTGGAATAACGCCTGTAACGATCTGCAGGTAAATCGGACCGGTTTTTGTTGGCTTCGAATTTTAGGTTATTACACCCGCAACCTGAGATTGAAGATATACGTTGTAGTGACACATAGCCAGACCATATGTGGAACTCAAGATAACCAGTCCCTTTAATAGCCCAATTTTTCTGCATGCAATTCTTAAGAGTTTTTAAACAGGAAAAACGGCACTAGTGATATTGAACATACACACATTCACTTTATTGGATACATATGGTTCACTTTTAAAGGGAGCGTGAAGTTGTCTAGGTAAAAAGAGCTCATTACGAGGGAAAGGAAGCAGTGACCGAAAAGGGAATGTTAATGTGTTGCAGAGATATTTTTTGACTTGACCTTCAGCTTGGAAAGGTACTTTAGGGCTAACAATGCAGGATCCAGCTTGGCCTCCTGTCTCAGAGGATGACTAGAAGCTCACTGGTTCAAGAGCTTGCAAGGCTATGGATTTCACTACCAATCTGTATTAGTTACTTTTCTCACTGCTTTAACGAAATACTTGGCAACAGCAACTCAAGGGAGGGAGCCTTTATTTTGAATCACGGATTTGAGGCTCCAGCATCTAATGGTGCAGACCGCAGAGGTATGAAGCAGCTGGTCATACTGCATCTGCAATCGGGATGAATGCTGAGGGGCTTAGCTTTTTTATTCCAGTATCCCAATCCATGGTATGGCACTGCCCACAGGGCTTCCCTCCTCATGGAAAGCACCCTGGAAACACTTTTACAGACACACCCAGAGGTTTGTTTCTAAAGAGACTCTAAATTCTGGAAAGCTGACAAGATTAACAGTCACAATTGCCTCGTTGAATCCCACAATGATCTTCTATTTTCCACATTTCAAATACACATTCTGGAGGGCTCAGTTGGTGAAGTGCTTGCCGCGCACACACACACGAGGACCTAAGTTTGGATCCCTGGAACTCACTTAAAAGGCCAGATGTAGAAGCACACATCTGTAATTTTAGATCTGGGGCCAGGAAGATGGAATTGATCACTGGAACTTGGTGGCCAGGTAGTCTAGTCCAATCAGTGAAAGATCCTGAGGTGGAGAGCAACTTAGGAAGGCACCGAATATCAACCTCCAGACTCTACATGTGTGCTCATGCAAACACATGAACATACATATAATATGGATCACAGGCACAACTGATGAAGCAAAGCTACTGTATAAGCAAGAGGAAGGAAAAGTACACTCCGAACATTAGCTGATTGTTCCAGTGGAAGCATGCTTCACATGTCAGATGGGGCTGTGATAACTCTAAGGGAATGATTTGAATCTTATAATGGAAATGCTTTCTGCATCTACTCTTCACATGTCTTTAAAGACTGTCAAAACTTTGAGTTAGAAAGGCTTTCATTTCCTAAAGAGGAAGCTTGTCTTTTGTCTCCATCCAGTTTTGCAGCTTCATGAATTGGGGTTGAAAAATGTGGTTTCCAGAGAATTATAGTCCTATGGTTACAAAGCACAAGTTTTTCCAGGGACTTAGAAGGGCAACACTTGGGCTTTCCAGGGACAAGAGAAATCACCATCCTCATTTTACGTAGGATCGTGATTGAGAAGAAATCACTAATTCTGTAGGAGCAGTCTCTAGTCTCCGGCTCTTTCTTCTGCTCTTTTCACCAAATGACTTACTGGAGAAAAGTTTTCATTTCCAAATTTTTCATATCAGGATCTGTAACCATTCAATGAAAACTCAAATGTGTTTCAAAGACAATTCTTGTAGTTAATGTATATACTTCACTCCCAGTCTGAAATGTTTTAGAAGCAAGTGTAGTAATCTTTCTGGGCACTGTGAAGATGTATTGCTCTCATTGATTTAATAAAGAGCTAAATGGACAATAGCAAGACAGGAAGAGTTTAGGTGGGACTTGTGGACAAGAAGAGAGCACAGCGATGAAGAAGGGCTCAGTCCCCAGGAGACATGGGGAAAAGCCAACCAGAGGCAGACACACAAAATGGGACAGAGGTAATAAAGCCATGAGGGAGAAAGTAAATTAATAGAAATGGGTTAATTTAAGTTGTAAGTACTACTTATAAACAAGCCTAAGCTATTGGCCGAGCTTTTATAATTAATAAGTCTCTGTGTGGTTATTTGGGAGCTGGCTGGTGGGGTACAAAATTCTGCCTACAAAGTGTATGGTATTTATATATTCTACACAGTGGTCAGCCTGTCCCTATACTCTCTTTTGATTATAAAATTTTAAAAAATAAATGAGTTAATAAAAAGGAGAATTCCTTTGAAATGAGGGATCTGCTATACCATCGATTGTAAATTTGGTTGTTTTTAAAAATGTTTTATTTATCTTTATCCATTTGTGTGTGGGTGTACTGGGTGAGTTTATGTGCATCATGTGTGTTGAGATGCCTAAGAAGTTCAGAAGAAGGCTTTCGATCCCCTGGAACTGGCATCACAGGCAGTTGTCAGCTGCTAGATGTAGGTGCTGGGAACTGGGCTTGGGTCTTCTGTAGAAGCAGTATATACTGCTAACCTCGGAGTCATCTCCCCAGCCACTGGTCCAGTTTTTCCAGTGAGACAATTTTTTATTAAAACAGGAATTTGAAGAATGAATCATGTTGGGACTTAGAGGTAAAGAACCCTGCGTTTATTACCATTCTTGTTGCTGTGACAAAATAACAGACAAAAACAACTCAATGAAGGAAGAGTTATTAGGGATCATTGTTTGATTTGGGATCATTGTTTGAGTCTCTCTCAGTAGGGAAGGCACAAGACAGCTGAGCACGAGGCATTCACAGATAGAAAACAGGAGAGATGAGTGCTGGCATTCAGTTTCCCTCCTTTTCTTTCTTTTTCCATTTTATTTACTCTGGGACTCTAGCCTGTGGCATGGTATCACCCACACCCAGGGTAGTTACTATCTTGCTTGGCTAAAGCTCTGCAGATACCTGTCACGGACACACACAGAGATGTTTCTCTTGGGCGATTCTATACCCTGTAAATTGGCAAAGGTGTCAACCATCACAAACTCAGTTATTCAAGTTTTTGAAGGTCCTAGAAACTCCATCTAAAATATCTGGCTCAATATTTTTTTTAAAAAAAGTAATTAGTATGTCATACTGTCGTGTTTTAAGCCACTGTTATTGACATTTAAAACATAAAACACAATATTGTCGTAGTATTGATTAAAGCTTGATATTGACCATGTCTGCATTTCAAATTTATTTCTTACCTGTAGACAAGAGTTTTTGTCCAGTCTAGTCCTGTTGCCCTTCAGTCTCAAGTAAACACACAGAGGCTTATATTAGTCATAAACTGGCTGATGGCTTAGGCTTCTTGTTGGCTAGCTCTCTCTTAATCCCTGTGTTTCTAAATGGCCTTATCTCGCTGGAGAATGCCAGGCATCCTATCTTCTTGGTAGCTACATGGCATCTCCCTTGCTAAGAACCACAGGATGATCACCAAGCTAAGGAATCTTGTCTGAAAGATTCTTCAACTTTTATTACTTACATTTCTTCATTCTTTTTTTCACTCAAAGGGATTCTTGGATATGAAAATCTCCAATTCTGCCTATCCCACATAGTCAATCTATATAAAAAAAACTGGGGGATTCTGGATAACTGGTGAGGCTGAGACAGAGTTGGAAGCAAAGAACTCAGATGCCACTTGGTGAAAAGCTCACTAGAAAACTCTCCACCTGACTTTTGAACACAACTGATTGTCACGTTTACAGGCTTTGACACATGGTGGCAAAGACTGTGGCTAGAAAGTATAGCTGTATCCCTGCCTGAACTCAAGTTAGTAGTCTATCTAGTTTTCTGAGGAACTTTTGCAACCTTTTGAAAAGCTCAATATTTTTGCCATAGCAAGGAAACTTATCCAGTATGGTGAATGTTAAGATCTATAGTAGTTTATTTTGAATGTAGGCAGATAGATGGGAGCAGGAGGATATGCTGAAAAGATGTTCAGTAGAGATGGGGAAAAGTCTACCAAAGGAATGTAGTGGTCACATACTGTGCTGCACAGTAAAAGGCAGGTCTTAAGGATTTGATAGTTTTTGTTGGGAGGAAGAAAACTATGACAGCAGGAGACAGTTTTTATGAAGGTGAAATATAGGGTGTTTTCAGAACTGCCTTTATGTTATATATATTCCCATTTCCCTGACTTACCCTGACTTCAGAGATTCCTTACATGTTTCTCCTGGGGTCAGGCATCCAAGGTCTGTGGC